AATTCGTATCATCTACGTAGAGCACTCCCACCTGATGACTTACTCTGCACTCACGTCACAAAATCATCTAATAGACTGACAAGGCAACGATTAGCGTAAATAGTATCAAATAGAATGGCAAATTGTTAATTCCGATTCAATGAAAAATGGGTGAAAAGCTGAAGACTATTCGTCATCGGGACAAACCATATGCCGGATAAGTAGTGAAGACGTTGCCGGTAAGCACCATCTTGTTTGACGAGACAGGAACACCCAAGGACAGCTCCAATAAACGACAAGACCTTACCAGGTACAAGCAAATCATCGAGGGCTAGTACATACAGCCGAGCCGTTCAAACGACCAATCACGCTGCAATTCCAAATGGAAGAGCTACGAATTGTTGGTGGAGAACCACTTTTGTTGAATGAATGGTTATGGATGTGAATTCATCGAGGCGTTTTCATCTGTTGTTGACGTATTTCATTCCTTGAATCTAGGGACAAGGAAAGGAAGTCACATGTTCCCAACTATGATCTTTAACTCGAGGTTCACCACTTCATATTGACTTCTAAATAATTGCCAGCTGTCTAGAAAAGTCCCTTTGCTCTTTAAATTCCCTTAATACCCACGTAATATTTTCTATATTCAGCCCAAAAGCATTGCTGCAAAGTACACCAAAGCGGATGTTCGTGTCTTCCCCCTTTCTTCCAAAAAACTCGAGGAAATTTAGGTGTTAATAGTAGTACCAAAATTGTCGGATAATGAAGTGCACGTGCGAACCTTACTCGAACATCTAAGTCAATTTGAATAATTCCGAGTAATTTCCGCAGAGGTCATTCAGAAATTTTTACTAGGACAGATCAGGATTAGTTAGCACCTGATGACTTGTGGCGACTCGATTTGAAGGACGCTGTGATATATTGATATAGCAGTAAAGTGAAAACAAGCAGTAAAAGGATATGCACTTCACCTCTAATGATCCGCGTTCTTCTTCCCCTTGTAAGCCTTAATAAATATTCATTGATGTCATGGTTGTCGGAAGACCCACGTTTTTCGCCGCCAGTGAAGTTCAACATAATTTTCGTGCGCGCCATCAAAATGACCAGCGTAAATAAATAATAATTGAAATAACACGGCGAATCGGTTGCAGAAATTTGGTAGGACTTACGTTTAGAGCCTCCCTTGCTTCCTAAGAAATGAACTGCCAGTTCGAGGACAATCTACAAAGAGGATTCTGCGGATGCTTTCGTTTTCTTCGCCATTTTCGGCCCACATATTCTGCATCACCTTCTTCTCTATTCAATCAAATTAAGGCACAAGAAATCGCGAGCTGTGCCTTTAGCCTTTCAAATACAAAGATTTCATATTTTTGCCGTTAATAACTTTGTTCAGAACTACGACTCAAACTCATAATAAAAAGCAAAAACTAAAATGAGAAAAGAAGCGTTATACCGAAACCAGGCCTGCGTGTAACGCCGCTCCGAAACCCAAAAAAAAACAAAATAACAGTGCTTTTCCACTGCACAAAACTACGCTTTGGAACCAGCGTCATCATCCGCTCCCGTTACGGAAAAGTGCATTAAGGAGCAAACGTATTCTCCAGGCAAAGATTGGCAAAGCTTCTGCTTGATAATCTCCAGTATTGCTCCTTGCTCTGATATGTTACAGCTAACTCCCCGCCTTCCCCTCCCCCTTCCCATCCCTCACCTGTTTAAAGAACTCGACAATTCCACAAAGAATTTACAAGAACAAGCTGAAGTCTACAGTAGGGCCACAATTGTGATCAAAAACCACCCTCAAATAACAATCTTTTCACGTAGCCTCAGCCGAAGTGCCCTTATCAAAAATATTCCCACACCTAACCGTAAAGAGTGGGGTTTAGACTAGAAAGAGATGAATTGAAATCACAAAGCTACGAAAAATATCGCACGGCACGGTGCATGTAATCGTGAAGAATTTTTCTTGAACTACATTATTAACGCAGCGCTAGAAAGCCATTCGATCAGGGATACGACCAGGATAGGCAGACAACGAGTACTAGTCAGATATAATGAGAGACAGGTCAAACGAGATTTATAAGTTCACAGAATGGAATGTCACTACACACCCGGAATCTCGGAGAAATGAAGGAATAGAGGAAATTTGAATCCAGCTCTGTTCACGTTGTCCCATTGTATGGAAAAATATTCACAAACATCGAAGGGCGTTTAGTTTGTGTCAGAAAGTAAGATATCGCCCGTATCAAATGCGCCAAAACTGGGCCAGTGTGTACGGCAACTTCGGAAAACACGGATTCGCCAGTTCTCGTAATCGGATGCTACCATTCTTCATCGAGAACAATGAAACAAGCATTACACCTTCAGCGGATTATCACTTTTCGTGTTCACAATTAGTCAATCAGATTTGAGGGAAAACCTGAAATCTGATGGACTTTGGGAAAAAAAGGTAATGACTTGTAAATAAAAAAGAAGGAGCGGAAATACCTTCATCAGTCACGAAAGACCTTTACAACTGCTAGCAGATCGATATACTTTAAAGTGTATTCAGATAGAATTAGGGGTTGGGCGAGAGTTACGAAAAAACCTGCGTGGAGTGGGTATTTGGACGAGCTGTTCGAATGCGCGGTATTGCATACAGCTGGTTGCAATACGTTGCCTGCGTGCAAGGTGTGGGTCCCGCGGCGAGCGGTACAACCTCAACAGTTTTTTCAACGCTTAACAACTTGCCCGTCTTGGGTGTGTACGTCGGTTAAACCGGTTTTGGGAGCCCTTATTGTGCCCAACCTTGGCTGTTTTTCGACCAGACATCGTCCCTTAGGCTATCCTTGAGGATCACAGAGTTATCCTAGGGAGGAGTCTCAGAAACCATTTTCAACGTTAATTGTGTCTTTGAATGTCGACTTGTTTGATTTTTTTACATCATCGAGCAATTCAACATTTAGTGGCATGTGATATGAGTAAGTTCGATTAAGACGTTAACCATCGCAGTGCAACGGCTGGTAAGTGCGATTGACCTCATTCATTTGCAAAACAGATAAAAATAACTAAAAATCGAAAACAGTGCAGTGCGTCAGATGGTTGAATGCTGAATTGGACCTTTATTCCAAAATTTCCATTCCCCCTCATCCTCGGGCATTCCACGTATCAGCAATAACGAATCGTAAAAAAAACTTCGGTCTTTGCCGTTATTCTCAAGCCTTTTCATGCTTTATTACAAAAGAAATGCAGCCTTGAATCTGCTTGCATTAAAAATTCATGAGCGTTACATCACTTCTATTGTATATATGTTAAAATAAGCAAATCGCTTTCAAAGCTACAGAATAGAGACTCTGAGAAACGAAATGTTAGCTGACATAGAACGAAAATTTAAGCCAACCATACCCTACCGACTTTTTTGCTTTCCTTTATGGTATTAAATAGGATTCGACAGTCATAAGGCAGGGTCCATCGCAGCTCAAAGGTATGCAGGTGTCACAAAATAATATTTCCATAATGTAAGTACATAACCTCATGGTTACCTGATCAGCTATTACAACATCACTCGTAAAACCCATTGACGTTATGTTTCATCTGCTCCGGAATTACTTCCGAGAAAAATAGGTGACTGGAAACAAAACTGTACACAATTTGGCACCGACATTTTGGATTCTATCTCAACGGAGCTACCAGCATCATGGAAAGTAGGTTCCCATCCAAACCGTCGCATCTGTTTTGGTAGAACGACAAGATGTGGCCAGTGAACTCTTCCCCGTTACCCCGTCCAAAGCTTCCGAAAACGAGAATGAGAATTAAGATAGGCGCCTCAGGGAAAGGTTTGAACGAATACAAGTGTCAAAATTCAACAAGACCTTCTTCAGTATAAATATCTCAGATGAAAATGGAATAGTACTGTTTGTGAAGAGTTTAGCAATAGGGCAGACGTAACAGCTTATCAAAAAGATTCGGAAAACAAAATTGAGAATACCCAGCCGCAGAAATGAAGGTATTGGCAGGCACCTGGGAATCACGATTGAAGTATGTGAAACGCTCGCTGAATGCTAATAGGCATTTATAGTTGGGCGATAAATGTATTCTATTATCGACTGAAGAAATCATCTTGTGATGTACTGTAACACATGTACAGTAATACGTCGTAAAGTGCAATATGTATAGGAAAAAATCGTCCACAACTACTATAAGGGCTAAGAAAAATATTAAGCACTATGATCGCTGCTATCCATATTCACGGCAATGTCAGCTAAAGAGGTACAAAAAGTGAAAGAAAAAATTTCTGTAATCAAAACTAAAATTGAAGTGACGCAACCGCACTATCTCAATTGAGGATAATTATGAATCCAGTGTGACAGTAAATTAACAAATTTACTGGATTTCTAAGCAGATTATTTCATTGCGTGGATGAGCAGCTCAATCTAAGAAATGCTATATGCTGTATACATATTTTTTCAACTGTACTTAATTGCAAACTGTGTCTATCCATGAAATCTCGTCATTGTAGGGATGAAGTAGCAGCATTGGATTCTCAGATCTATTAGAACTTGTTTAGCTCCTCTCCAACTTGCATCTAACCCAGAAGTCCACGGAGGTCCAAATACGTACATTCACTGAGTCACTTCTCTTACAGGTAAACTCCTGAGATGCTCCTATTGCATATTGCATTTACTGCTCCTATTGCATTTATTTCCAAGTGGCGCTGGTAAAAGGGAAATCGGCAGCAATATCACGAAAACTTTGAAATTTTGTGTATGAAACTCTCACGAAGGCCAAAAACGAAATGAAAAACGAATCTTTTCAAAGAGATAAATCAATCTCTGCAGAACTGTGACAATGAAAAATCACTCTGACATTTTGAACCATCACAAGCTGGGCTCCTCAATTCAAGATGCCGTACTACATAGAACACTTCAGGTTTCGATGCATAGCCTACTTGATTCATATAAATTCTGAACGATGGATTTCCTAACGACGTCAGCATTAATATTATGTAAGCCTTCTACACAGTCTATTTCATATTACTAGTTGCATCAGTCTTTGTAGAGGCACTCACCGTTATCAGCTTCGACAGCGTCATCGGCGAATTTCACGCGAACGGGTGCAGTAGATGGAGTTGCTGATGATCTCCTAGTTGATTTCGCTTCGTTCACTTGACGCAATGGCGAGACGCTGCCGCGCTTTGGCGACTCTGCTGGCGCCACAAGAAGTTCGACGACCGGCACGAACATCTGGTCAAGACCGGCAGGTGCCGAGCCTTTCCGAGCGCGCTCTGTGGACTGCTTATCACGTTTTCTTGAAAACGAAGGCGATCGGCGACGTGAGATTAGGTCCGTTAGTCCACCAATGACGTCGGTGAGACGATAATGTCGAGAACCTGCCTCCATGCTTGATAGTTCAATTATATGTAGTAGCGCATCGGAGTCAGCTTCAAATAAGCAGTGGCCCGAAAACTGAAAGTCGTGCCGATTTCGTTTATCCATTCATTGCGAGAAAGCGAGGACAACGAGAGTACGGATCGGGTGAAGTATTACTGGGCGTTTTCTTGAAACTTGCGATATATTTCAATCGCTGCCCTCAAAGCAATGAAAATGCACAATCAGGACAGACACAACTGTCCAATTGATAACTACTACGGCGAAAGAAACAACAACATTATCGTAAAATAGTGATATCCGACAAGATGATGACATAAAGCATGCACTGTTCAACGACAGATCGAAAACAAATCGAGCGACACTTTTGCCTCAGCTTAACAACTGTCAAATGCCAAGAAACAGAGAATTTTTTGGAAAGCAACAGCCTTATTCTCAACAAAAATGGCTCCCGACGAAATAAGTTCAGAAGCGACTTTCTAATGAGTAACTGTTGTCACTACTCCTGAGATGTAACGCAGGAAAAAGTGCACAACAAACACTAGAACAGAACAGTGAAAAAAAGATTTTGAGGTGGCCGCAGCAATGCCACTGAAGCCAGACTACGGGAACTTGAGAGAGTATTACAACAGTGATATTGGCATTTAGATGTTGCCTCCTCCTCCACCCTTCCTTAAGTCCGTCAGCTGTGAACGCGAGGCACTTGGAGAATGGAATGCGGGAACCACGGCGACGAACGTTTGTGATGAACAGGACTACATAGACGGTGTACGCTTTGCCATCAGCACGTACTACTCCCTTCTCGCCGCCCTACCAATTTTTTACGGGGACGAAATCAATAGACGAAAATTCGCAGGAAGCAATCTTGAAGACAGCTGCTTATTATTACGCATAGAGACGCACAAGCACAGATGGGCCACGTAGTGTTCGGGGCAGCAGAAATGACCGATAACAAACAACTCCATAACAAACACTGGCGATGAGGCTGGAGTCTCACACGACTGTTGTCCTTTTATCATAACTTAAATCGATAAAACTGCCAAAAGCATTGAATATTGATCATGGCAGTTTATCGAGTGAACAGATGTCCACTAAGTCAATACCAGAATGTTGTTAACCACATGTAGAAATAAAAAGAGCGATGCAGGTTCCATCACAATATGAATTTTGAAGATGTTGTAAAAAAGGTAAAAAGGAGTAAACCAGAGTCCGCTGTAGATAAAAATAGAAAAACTAATAGTTGATGCTATCCACTCCTTCTCATCTCTCACGCATGCTCTTTTTAGTCTCTTACACACAAACTTACTCGATAAATGACGAGCAGCAATCATCGTTGTGAGAATGGCACCCTAAATAGATTATTTCTTCAGTGATGAGCCGTTCCAATCCTTGTGTTAGTGAATACAACAAAAAAAAAATCGTAAAAACATTGTGCATACATAATGCTGGGCGTTGGATGGGTAGATCTACGTCTATAGTAATTTCCCCAGATTGTCATAGTTAAATCGCTCTGAAGAGCAAGCGATAGTGGTGTGGTGCACAACTCATAGTTTGAACACCGAACCGCTAACGCAAGTATCCCTAGCCGTCCGCCTCTAGACATTAATCCCGGGGAGCTATAGACTACATGTAGGCATTTGCAAGTGGGTGACTGCAAAAAAAGTGCATAGATAGCAAAAGGTTAGCTTTGCTGTGAAATCGTAGCCGAAGACAAATGCCGCACAAATAAAGCTTGGTACGTTCGATAAAAAAGGAAGCCATTCGGCTAAAACGTGCATTCCATTCTTGGTCGCCACGCAGAGGAATCATTTTACTGTTAGTACATATAGGATACTTGTTAATAAACCATTGAAAACAACGACAGAAAAAAAGAGAACGTGCAAAGGAGGGGAAAACGGAAATAAAGAGAGGAAAGAAGGAAGTGAAATAAAAGTGACAACAAGAAGGGGTTAGAGGAAGCACTGAACTAAATACAACACTAGTAAAGACCAGTGACTGGAAGATCATCCAGCACTTCACTGATGCTTGGTCGTATTTGACCACATTCGATAGAAACACGGAAACGACAATACATACAACACAAATCAATGGAAATGAAGAAAAATCGAGCCCAAAGAAAATTTCGCGGCTCACGCGCACTTGTTTTTCCTACTCGCAAAAGTGTCAATTCTATTTGAAAGAATGACTCAGGCGAAGTGGAAACGTTAAGCCCCTCGATACGCTACTTGGCACTGTATAGGCCTATTATGTATCCACATGCTCATACATATTCCTTTAATCCCCTAAATTTTGACAGTTTTCAGTTTTTTCTTTCTTAAATTTTGAAATTGCAAACGTAGCAAAAACTTAATGACAAAAAGTGTTCTTAAAAGTTCATGTTCAGAAAAAGTGACTGACATACTGATTTGCTCTAACTTTAATAGCACTTTTCGAAAGCGAGCTTTTCTTAATGAGGGCCAACACCCCTTATTCAAGACAGTTGTTGATATCACCCCGTAGGCGGAATCAGCGCAAAACGCCGTCATGTCTAAAAGAAGTCCTCATAAACCGCATAGTTTGCGAGGTTCTAACTACCGGTAACGTTGTGGACGCTCTTTGGAAGCAATGGTTGAATAGGGCAGTGAAAGTGAAATGGAAACCACAGAACAAGACGAAATATAGGAATAGCAATGAAATGCAAAGGTAAACTGATTAGCAAACAAGTCACAATGTCACTACACCGGGTGAGCCGTTTAAACGAAGAATACATGCTCACAGCACACATAGAAAGCGAGAATGAACACAAGGTGAGCACACCACTACAAGTACGCCACCTCACAGCTCAGCTTTGTCACAAGTAAGACACCCTCATATAGTTAGCGGATCAGAACTCGCACTTCCACGACTTCGTACCCGGCTGTGTCACAACAGAAGAAGTGAAACTGAACCGTACGGTAAGGTGTACTGTTTGTGAAAATATATTCTACTCAGTAGTTGAGCTTAAACATCAGCAAGCGGCTATCCCTAGCTCATGCTCAGACTTGAGTAGAAAAAATCACGTTTTCTGATTACCAAAAAAGTAGCCTGAGCATGCTTACGGAAGCCGACTTGTGGTGTTTGGCATCAGTGATCGATGAAGGAATCCGATAGAATGGGACTATGTCAAAACAAAAGAAGCACAAGGGGCCATAACACATTTTTAGCAATAAAAGCAGCAGCGGCAGTGATTGGTAGTGTATATGATCGAAAGGGGTGAGATGGTAGTAGGATGATGTAGTGGTGGTTGGTACCTCTTGTGTAGGGTGCTGTGGACTGCTGGGCTGTGACGATGAAGCTGCCGGTTCAGGTCCGCTGCCGTTTGATGCGACACTGCCAGTTGAATCGCTCGTCCTCAGCACACCACTGATTCGTGTCACCATTTTCACAGCGGAGATCGCGGCCTTTTAGAAGGGCACAAATTCAGGTGAGATCTTTCTATACAGTACGAAACACAACGCAACAACAATAGGTGTGAAGAGATAGAGAGACTGTCCAAAAAGCAACGCATCGTACAGAACGTACAACGTTCATTGAGCATTTGACGCACTCCCTCAGAACATAACGCCCTAAGACCGCGTTTTGACACATCAGAAGTAGTTTTGTCCCAAACTGTACGATTAGGAGGTCGGCCTGCTGTTAAACCTTACGAAGCTGGTTTTCAAAACAAAGCAGGAAACGAAAATCAGAAGAAACGCACTATGACCATCTCCCGGTTCTACCCTTCTGACTCTACCCCAGCTTTTCCGCCCACGCTACTTAGAAAGACATAAGTGAAAACAAAGCTACAACCCTACTATTCAAGGAAGCCTCATGAAGTACGGTGGAATCCGTTCTTTACTAACCTCAAGTGACCAGCTACCTTACAATCCCCTCTTCAACCCTTCAGGTCACCGGTAATCTTTTTCCACTCCTCCCTTTACTAGCCACATGTTTCTAGCCGTAGAACCTTTCGATTTAGAAACTAAAGCCGAGCATAGTTGTTGACTTTCGAATAGAAATGCTTGTCCTCATCGCTCCTCCAAAAAACGCTTCAGCCGCACTAATTTTCTATAGCGTATACCCTTTGGAAAGCAAAGTCAATGACATGACTATTTCATTAAGCTGAGCATAACTTTCCAGACAGTCTGTCAGAATGAAATGATAGACAGACTGATCACTGAGCCTGAGTGAGCATCAAATATTTAGAATAGACAGCGAAGGACATTAGTCCTCACTCGTTCATTCGCATTCCATCATGCAGAGATCGGATGTTAAGCATTCCAATAGGCACTGTCAATACTACATAATCACAGCAAAAAGGAAAGAAAATAGACTGAACGTAGCATGCTATAAGTTGCTCAAAACTTCAGGAACAGCAATTCAGCACGCACGTACAGAGGTGATAGAGGACAGAAAACTATGTACATAGGGACATGGTAAAGGTGGTAAACCAAAGACAATCGAGAAGAAACAGAAGAAACAATTGCTCGAAGGTGATGATATCGAGAGCAGTCGTCGAGCGTCTCGTTCGCACTAAACCCACTCACTAACGTGTACATATCGTCTTCATAAAAAAATCCGGACCGTTTGGGAGGATTCGCGGTCCTCTGATACCTGACTTCGTTTTCTTAACTCAATACTTCACGCTCAGCTGACTAAATGCATCCAGTTGCATGGCATCAGAAAACAGGAAAACGTACTAAACGCCGGAGTTTTTGATTTAGACTATCGACAGGCTAACTAACACTCGCACTAACGATACATCATAGAATACAAAGTCGATTGGAACTTAAGAAGCATGGCCAAATACAATGTGGTTGCACTAATTGAGCTATAGCCAGAACCAATGGACCCGAAAAAAAATGGAAAATTCAAAATTGTAATATAAAACAAGCAATGAGTCGGAAATGCTCACATGATACCCTACGCGGTGCGGAAGGTGCCCAACAAAGCTATCTATGCAGGAGCAAGCTTGTAAAACCCGAAAACCCATATAACTAATAAAAACAGGCAGCGTAAGGCACTGTTATTTTCTATCAAATCGGATCTCTAGAAGCTAAAATGAGACGGAATCTTTTACTTCGGAGTGGAAATCTTTTCTTTTTACGAGTGCAAGTGGAATCACCTTTTGTTAAACCCTCTTTAATAGGGCCGTATCCCGCATGCCCACCTATGTACTTTGATTTCGGTCGCTTGCAACAGGGTGTACCTAGTCGCAACGGCTTTAAATCAAGATGTGCTCTGCATTATTTGAATGGACTTTTAGGCTTTCCCTTTTTGCCGTCCTGATCAATTTACCATCTCGGATCATGAAAAGCCTGATGAAGTCTCTGAGTTGGGGTGGTATACTGCAGTGATGGTTACCGACCACAAGTACCCACGAGAGCGTAGGGTCGGTTTTCCATTGAACTTCGATTCTCAGCTTCCAAAAAACATGTCTGCGAGTTTTTCAACAGCACTTAACGCAATACTACCAACCTTCCACTATGCTACACGGTCAAATATATGTAGTAATAATAGTGTAGTTTGATGCGAAGTTTGGGCTACCTACACATCTCTTTCAGGTGAGAGTTCATCATAAAAAGTGGACCTTGGTGTGTAATTCGAAAATAACATAAGAATGAAAAAGGAAGAATAGGTGGAACCATATGATTGGATATTGCGCAGTGCGGCTTCAAGCAGGCTAGAGATTTTTGCAACGTTGTAGCTTACCTAGAGCACGTCCCGACTCAAAGAACCATAGTGTTCTAAACAATGTAACCAAAGGATATGTGCGAGTTCGAGTGCGAGGTCAAATTTTTGCCAATAACTCCAATGCCTTCCTGAAATGCGGTCTTAAACCAGTAGGTGAGAAGAAAGAACTGATCAGGTGAGGCGCAGGAGAGTTTATTGGATTGAGGTCTGAAAACGCGAAAGTTGCACGACCAGGGGAAGCATCCCAAGATAGGAAAACCTAGCCTTAATACACAATGCTGGTATCTTCCAAGCGGCAATAATGTGAAAACAGGCAGCCAACATAGAGGTCCATTTTCTTTGACTTTTCAACGCACTCAATGCCAAGTGTAGCAACGCTTTTCGATGGGCACCCACCGCACCATTGAAGCTTATGCAAAATCCACATTCGAATATTCGCGAATGTGTGTATTCGAAACCGCGAATGCGATCCAGCACAAGTATTTTATCAACCAACCTGAAGGCAGTTCCATGCTTAAATGAGGAAAAAGAACAGGAACACACCTTGAGTTTTCGCCTGGCGTTGAACTTCTTCAGGCAATCCACTGTATCTTGACGGTGCATAACAGACGCGACACGTTCACGATTCTGAACAACGAGAGCATGGTGACGAAAAGCGTATGAAAGTCACCGGTCACTCTATACTGAGAACGTGCTTAACAATGAAAGAACGTACACAAATCCATGGCACTTTCAATGCTTGATCGGCGGTGATTCGCTTCTTTGGATTTACAGTCAGCATGCTGTCAATTAAGCTCTTCGCCTCAGGCGTTACTGTATCCCATTCCGGACTTGGGTACTGCAATTAAAATCAGTGCCAGTACTGAAAGTAATAGAGAGCGCATGATACACTAATAACTCACATCATAAGCGCCAGCCTTGATTTGGGCGTAGAGACGATGTTGATCCTCATCCCAGAATGGTGGGTAACCGACCAAAAGGATATAAAGGATGACTCCTAAAAATGGGGTGCTGTATTCTGCACTATTAGATCCGTCTTCCAATATGAACGAGGGGTAGAGATGACGGAATGAGGACACCGATGGTTGTTGAATGACAACCATGACAAGTGTAAATGGCTAGCAGCAGACGTATGTAGATAGAATGCAAATGGATTCTTCGGCATTTCTCCAGAGGAGGGTTTTGACTAAGCCGTGCAACGTAGAACAGTGAGTTATATAAAGTATGAATGATAGACTATAACTAGTAAGGCCTGGTAAAGATTTTTGCTAGGGTACAACATTCCCTATCCCTAACTACAGTAGACCGCCCATACTCTAGTGCGTTTTGTTATGGTAAATACAGGACAACTGAAACAGGGGTGCCGTCTGATGAAACTGGATAAGATGGAATGCTCGAGGTGGAGGGGTGATAAAGTCAAAAGTTTTTCGAGCCACTAAATATAGCGGTCGAAGCGTGGAAAGGTTGCTGGATGGAGAAATGGGAAAGGGAAAAGACTGATAAGATAAGTCCGAAAGGAAAAGCCAATCAATAAGGTAGATCCATCTTTTTCAAATGGAGTATTCGTATCATAAAGTGTAGCGTGGAACGCATACCAACCGAATGATTAAGAATTTGTTACTTAATGTCGCATTAATGGATGCGAACATTACGACTCAATTGCTCCTCACCCAGTTCATAAAGATAAGGAATGTCGAAAACAGGCGTCACAGGATCTGTGTGTCCTCGATAATTGTTCTTCACTGGCAAATGATAAAGAAGATAATACGCGGGAATGAGGAAAGCCCCCTGTGATAATCAAGGGTCAGTGATGGGTAGTAAAAGGAGAAGCCACCCAGTTAGGTGGGCATCACTGGATCAAAATATAACAAATATCAAAATAACAAAATTCTGTCCCATTTCCGACTACTATGTGCACTTCCATGAATTCCTCACGCAAGTCAATATTTGGTAAGGGATCACATCTTGCACAGCTCCATGGCTAGGAGATGGGCAGCGACTATCTCGTGACTGACCAATCGAATCGCACCTCTCCGATTTCCTGGATACGCGGGCCTCTCACTGCTTTGCACTGTTTGAGCCTTTGAAAAACGAGAAAGAAGCCAATTTTTTTCCTCGTGTCATCATAACCCCTTATGCTACATGTAATCACACCTTATAACCAGCCCAAACTGACGATATAAATTTTAGGTGGATCTCAGCACCTTACTCTCATCCTTACTCATGGGTGAGGCTTTCCTAAATGACAATGAAAACGGACTTTCATAACTGTATAGGTAGCAAACGATTCCGAGGATTTGATGATTTGCACACTTGGAAAACTACTTTGAATGAATTGTAAAAGAACTCACCACAAGCCCAAATGTCCACTGGTTTTCCATAGGGATCTTTTTTCAGCACTTCTGGAGACAAATAACCGGGAGTCCCAGCAAATCCGAACCAAGCCTCGGTATCTTGACCAACTTCAATTGCAAGACCAAAGTCGGCCAGCTTCACAGCTGCTCCTTTCGCCTTACTGGCTAGTAAGAGGTTTTCAGGCTGAAAACGGCAAATGTAAAGTCCTCTTATTTTTGTGAAAATTTATCACAGCACCCAACTGATGAGTAAGTTAGAGCACACCAACATATATTCCAGTCTCATTCATTATACTGCTCATAGCAATTCTCCGATTCAAACGCCTAACTTCTGGCGTTATTTCTCTTCAACTGGCAGAATCAACACCAAGATTATCCAGAAACTTCGAGAAGTCATGATTTGGTCGATGCCGAAAGTCAACTTTGCAACCTTGAACTTACGAGAGCTATCTCCAATTCTATTTCCTTCTTACATCTCATCGTCTTATACATTCGTTACTAGTAAGCAAGGAGACACGAATGGTGACACGAATAAAATTCAGCAGATGAAGGAAGATGATGAAAGTTGGTAGGCAAGTGTTACTAAGTTCGTGACAATTTGTACGACTCTGACGGCAATTTTCGGGACATAAACTCGAAGTAGAGTAGTTTAGTAGGGCCAGACAATCCTTCTAATCTACTCTTCTTCAAATTTGAGCCCTAATGATAGGCGCTAAAGTCGTTTAAATCGTTACGAACTTCGCCGCTCAATTTGCCGTGCGCACCCTCGGACGCACGTAATGCCACATACCCAGGTGTCTGGACATTAAAGTGATTAACGAGGGAGGCGCCGCGCATTGTAAATGGTTGATAAAGGGAAGAGAAATCAAAACCGATAAGCGTCGATAAATGCTAGAATCATATGAGGACATCAAAACGGGCTTCATTTTTAGCGATTCCCTTACTGTGATACATCGAAGTCGTGTACTAGAGTGTCAAGGAGGGATCGCGATATATATTTGCCAGCCTTCAGGCACAGACCCGAAAAATCCGCCGCCAAGTGGGCTGACTATGAGCTTTAGAGCGAAAGGTGTCTAGTGTGAAGGGCCTCTAACTGTAGGAATTACTGCTTGTTCAATCATGCCACAAAACGGTATCAAAAGCTATCAGTCGATCGGAAATGCAGTGGCGTACTAGACGTATGTACATATTACGATTTAGGCGCTATTGGTAGCATTTCTCTCCTGAGCTTACTTTTGATTGCTACTACATAGCTCAGTTCGCCCTGGGTTTGACCAAATGAATGCGTTCTCTTAATGGTGGAAAGTTTTGGAGAGGGACGGACACACCAGGAACACCGGCATACCGACAAAACCGAATTACTGCGCTATATATCAGGTGGATTACATTGAATCCGGTATCACTTGCTACGTAATTTGATTCGATTAATAGAAGTTCTGTAAACCTCCACAAAAAGACGAAGATAAAGAAAATGCTAATATAATCTGACGAGAGCATTACGTCAGGTACTATCCAAAGCTTGGAGGCCAAGCTACATACGCAGTTGAATATGATAAAAGCATTTCAGTCGTACATGTTTTTAGTTATGTGGCTAAGACAAGGGGTCGCTTCGTTGCGCGCGTAAGTCGAAACTAGGTCACACAGCAGCTGTCGCACGCGGCGAGTCAGCCCGCGTTCTTTGACGAACGTCGCAGTTGTCAGTGAGGCATGCGAATTGCGCTCGGTCTACGGTAGTCAGCTCAGAGAGGAGATAACACGGACAAATGCAAATCATTCGCTCCACTGATACGTGGTAGTACTGTAACGTCATCTCGAAACCTCAGTGGGCTGCGCCGTGCGCGGAGTTGGCAGGGTGACCTACTTTTGACGGACGCGCGCTACGGACGTTTCCCATAAGACAAGAGAATGACGCTGGGGACTTTCACCTCTTCAGCTGTGGGTGAAAATGTAGTTGGTGAAGGCTAACATAGCAATACTAGTACAACAAGAAATTAACACGGTGTTGCATGTTAATTCTTGTTATGCTAACATGTAATAGAGAAGAAAAGGAGAGTGCGTATCCGCCATCTGCGCCCTTTTATGCAGTTTAGGCCAAGGATATGCGGTTTTCTCCTAAGCCTTAGAATAGTAGCAGCACCGGGAGGGAGATGATTACTTCGTGCGAAAAGCCACCCCTGTGCTCCTTCCCTCCCCCTTCCAAGGCTTGGTTTGAAAATTGCATGTCCTTAGAGTAAGAAAAGTAACAAGGTATAACACGTCACACCGTGTTTCCGTTGTGAAACACGGTATAGCACCTAAGGCTGCTTTTTGGCCCGCGACCGATCGCGCAATCGGCCGCGGGCCAAATCGTGGACTATGAAAGCAGCCTGACACTGCAATAATCCTTCTATGTGCGAACACTGTTATATGTCCCAAGCCACCCCCCCCCCAAACTACATTTTTTTGCTCATATATTAATTTATTTCTTCAACATAAAAATTTCTTACTGATCAAGCACCTTTTCTAGGGTAACGAAGCAGAGGGCCGATTCCTGGAAACCATTTCAAGTTTATAAACGACAAAAAGGCTTACACACCTTCAAATCTCTGTGCACTATGCAGTTCTGATGGCAGTAGGCGATTGATTCGAGAATTTGCTGGATGCAATGACTGAAACGGCACACAACGTGGTTAGTCACTCGCAAAAACAGTCATACATTATATCAACAAAAGAAATTCATGAGTTATGATGAAATATTTGCTACGTGAAAAAAGTCCATCTCTGAAGTGGGTCGGAAGCTCAACACCATCACCACATCGGTTTCGATTTTCTTCTTAGGCCGAACATAAGTTGGTGCCAATTAGATAACCCAACTATGGAGAAACAAGAAAACCAAATAAAAGTCAGAACAGGAAAATTTTGTAAGGTTATCACGTTCCCAGGAGCACCGGCGCACTAGTACACTATGAGCGTTTTCATGAAGGTGGGGCCTACAGGCCCCACTTCCAAAATGTCCCATGCTGTTTATTTGTGAAATACTCTCCCATCATTACAGGACAAATTAACTAAAACAGATAATTCATATGCAAACTTCGAAAAATTCTTTGAAGAGCTAGGTTCTCGGTACTCGATAGGGCGAGTCTTATAGAAGGTTAAAAGAACTCAAACAATAAATTATTGAATTAGCATCCAGTTAACTACAGCAGATCCATTCTCAAAGCGTTAGCAAACTCGGCATATATCAACACATTCGTAGTAAAGCTGATTTTAAGTCTCCCAAACCTTCATATCTCTGTGGACAACGCCACGTTGATGACAGTAATCAACACCTTCGAGTACTTGCCAAATGCAATAGCTAAATATGTACGAAAACTGGATTAATAATAAAATGAGCAACTCGTTTACCAAGCCAGCACATAGTTGTACCGCTTTACCATAATTTTTTTGCTAAGAACAGGATTACCACCTTCTTTGGCCGAGTGAGTAATCCCTGTATTCATCATTGGTCCCTCTGATACCCCATGAAATTCGAAATCGATCACGTGTTTTGTTACAGGCTGATTTGCATGTGTAAATTTAAAGCTTTTCTACCAAACTTCTCTTAAAGAATCTCACTAAGCTCTCAATGAACACTTCAATTTACCTACTATGTATCATTAAAAAAGCGACAGCGATGCCGACTGCTTACCTCGCGTCTGCTTCACTGTAGAACTCTCTGGCTACGATATCCTCGAATAGTTCACCACCAGTGACTCTAAAATCGAAACAATTAGATCAAAGGATCTGAATATTTGGGATGGACGCCAACTGCCTCGTAAAGGGATTACACAAATTCCATCAATGCTAATATATCGACTACTTTCTTGCTTGGCGACGTCTTCTGACATCACGACGTTTGGACAAGAACCCACGTAAAGGAGCAAATCGTAGATATGATTGGATGAGCTCCCGTAAGTTTTTCAGGACAATTCGAGGATTTCATCAGCGAAACAGTGCACATATAATTTGGTACGGGTGGGAAAAACTGCCCGGTCGTTACGACTGCATTCTTCATAGAAAGGTCATCAAAGGCACAGTTTGCGATATATGGTATCTAGTTTTAGACGAATAATGGAAATGAGTCCGGAATAGTGCAAAAGTGGCGAAGAAAACGCGAAATTCGGGGTACTATGAGAAATACAAGGCTTGAAGGCGCAGTTCACTATAAAAATGGTTTCTGATTTTTCACACAGGATGAATTTGAGGCCTCCGCGTATACCATATCTACCACTACATATCAGGTCGGAAAACGTCCTAGTTAGGGAGTTATAAATGGTCAAAGATTGGCCCGTGTGAGTTTTACCGGCATTGTAGAGGCTGCGCCGATCACAAGAGAACCCATGAGGAAGTCAAACAACTTGTTATGACCCATACCGACAGTGGAAGATAGTTATGTACAGTTCTGACTTGATGTAGTCAGCTCTTTGTGCAATAACTTGCATAAACTGAAATCTCGTCCGAATGCCGCTTCCATGTTATTTCCATCATGGCAATCTCGTCCAACCTCTATTTTCTCTACTTTTGAGAAACCATATTTTCCTCGAAATCGGCGAGTTCTCTCACTTTCTTCACCACCGATGAACTATTCCCAATCTATATTTCCGCTTTTCGAATAAAAACGGGTACTTCAAAATTATCGTGAACTGAGTCTTTAAAAAAAGTAATATTATGGTTAGACAAGAATGTGAGGCAAAAAATTGAAGAGATATTCGGACGAGTTGTTCAAATGTGTTCGCCACTGGTGCACCCTATGCAGCTTCTACAGTTTTTCGATTCGACAGCATCCATCGAGCAATCTCCAGGGGGCACGGATTAATTCTAGAGAGAAATCTCACAAGCCATTTTAATCGTAAACTGCCTACACCTTTAACACAACTGAAAAAAAGGGAAAATCTAAAAAAGACAAACTTCCATGTTTAATGGAGGATGGGGAAGATAAAATGAGACTAACGCTTACATAAGACATTACCCACATCGAACCTTTTGCTATGGAAAAAATGCCTGCATAGAGTAAGAAAGTATAAATGAATGTCTGTTCAAAGATGTATAACGAAAGGTACTCACAAATCGAAAACGAGGTAATGAAATGACTCTTCTTGGATACTGTCATGAAGGCGAACTGAAAAAACCTATCATTATTTGAAATCTGTGTGCACATTTCAGAATTCCTGAATAGTTGCAGATGCGAAAAATCCAGCGTATGGAAACGAACTTTGGAGATGATTTAAGATGAAAGACTATGCTTAGAATATAAAAAATAAGGACTGTGTCCCCGCTCGTTCTGCGTAAGAGCTTTTTTCGCCAATGTTGTCTCCTATTAGAACAAATATTTTAAAGATTGACAAAAATCTTTCTACAGCAAAAAAAAAAAAACACAGAACCTGTAAGTATGACTGCCCCTTTCCAATCTCTTATTGATTGCTCAAATTTACCTTCCCCTAAATGGAATTCACAGCCTTAATTCCGAGCCTATACTAATCCCTCCAAATGTACAGAAGTCTCAGATGTCAAATGTATTATTAGATGATTGAGTATTGAAAATTTCAAGCCAAGAGAGTGGGTTGGTACCAGTGAAACGCTCTTACTTACCTATGTTGGGATGCTGAAGCTTTCGACATATTCTTGCCTCACGTTCTAGCTTTTGGAAGTCTCTCGCAGATAGTTTCTTGGTATTGATGATTTTCGCTGCATATTCAGCCGCTGTCGCTTTGTGAACGCATCTGCGGACCACGGAGAATGCTCCTCTGCAATTTCAAAATGTCCTGAAAGTTGTATGAGAAGAAATTAGTTAGCTGAGTAAAAGGGAAGGCTATAAGGTAGCACTATTTAGGATCAGATACATACCACCACACTCGTTTTTCAACGCTTATCTCAAATCTACATCCCCAATTTGTGAAACCCTTCTGGGAACGAAAGTACGGAAGCAGTTACTAGTGCAGGATCTCATCGAACATAGAATCACGTCGAGTGTGTCTGATGTGAAGCGATAGTGCACATGGTAGGGTGTCGGACGCAAGCCCAGGCGGTTTGCATTTTCGATACATTAGGGTAACTACTTATAGAGCTTGATGAGTTGAGTTCAACGGTGTTTTAAACTCCTCAAATACTTCACTCTGAACCGACTTAGGGATATCCATGTATCCATCGTCACTCCTTTATTTACTATTCAGGAAGTAAAACGGTTCCTTTATATCGTAATCCCAAGAGCCTCCGATACTTCCTATGATTGCTGTCTGAGATTAAGTTCTTCCCAACTTCCATCTAGAATGTATGAGATGATTAGTGTATTTCAGTAAAAGTAGGAGTCGATCAAGTACCTTAAAAGGGATGAACATCTGGTTGGTGAAAGCAAATCGGCAGCAAAATGCAGAAAAACATGAGGGTCTTCGATAATAAAGAAGCACCTCTGAAGCTCACTAGCACGACTCAGTCAAGAATGAAACCGGAGATCGCTCGGGTGTGTTTAGTCAAAATACGTCTACTGACTCTTTGTTGCGACATCGTCTAGACGAGGATTTTAGCAATCACAGTCATAGAAATCACGATACTTTCTTAACCTTAAGCAAGTGGAGTGAAAACTGCGGTAGGAGGTGAAACAATCACTAGAATATGGTTAATTTAAGGGCCTACATGGGCACTACGAGTATCGAAACGTAGACGGAGTATTCAGAATAGGATTTGTACCAGAATAGAAAATGAATGTTTTCAAGGTTGAAACACTGTTTCTTCAATGTTTTGAGCGGAGTACTCGGAACATTTGCTTGAATTACGAGGCCTAGAGACAAACCGTCCCATAGTATGGAAAGGTAAGGTTTACCGCATGGGTACTTGTACCGAACAGTCTGAATAATTAGAATGAGAGAAGGAAAGGCGTAAAGTTCTGCTCATATCTCAACAACGTTGCTTAGTTCAATAGCACGTACACATTGCACGGGAACATGCATCTCGAAATAAGTTTCTCATGCGAACCCACTTTCCTAGCTCCTCCTTAACGTCGTAATTGTCGCTGAATTTAGTAGAGGCGTTCATAGTAGGACCGACAACCATGCCCTGTCGAAGACGCTTCTCACCTGAAATCAATAAACTGCTAATAGATATTTGGTAATTAAAAAGTTCAAAAAAGCAGACGCTTCGCCATAATATAATCAAGGGAATGACAAGCAACTGACATTGGCTCCATCGCATTATGTATAAATGAGGTCTGCCGAATATTAGGGAAGATGAACGTAGGAGAAGCGACTAGTTCGGATGGGGTTCTAATCGAAGTTTGGAAGGCGCTCGTAGAGTACGAGGTTATGTGGCATACCCGATTCTTGAGCAGACCACCGAAGGAAGAGTTCCAGATGCCTGGACAGAAGTACTACAATCACCATCTTCTTTCAAAAGGACGCGGAGGAATGATCTATCTACCGTGGAATCAGGTTGACTGCGCACATAATGGAAAAGCACGAGCGGTTAGTCAACTTATGAATGAGGAACTTCTCCAGTCTCTACAGAGTGGCTCGCATGCAAAGTTTCGCCCAAATCGGGCATGTTAAGCACAGGTTAGGCACTGCTTACTTCTACAATTTTTTTAGAATCAATGCTTCAATGAGATCGAGTATTAGGTTTTTGTAGTAAGTGTCTCCCAACTTAAGGACGCCCAGTCCACTGCCTGTGGATTTTTGACGTTGAGTTCACGTCCACTTTGCTTGCTTCGTTTGATCTTGCCCAAGATCCAACAATCAGACTTGAACCTACCGCTTCAGGGCTCCTTCAGTTGTCGGTTCTAATTCCACGAAGCAACGAAAGAGCGCATACAGAGAGAAGGACAGACAGAGAGACGGATGCGAGCGCTTCATATATAGTAAGGGTTGTCGCTCTAAGTAGTTATTGGGAACATTTACCTCCCACTCTTTCGATGGCCTTTATCGATTATGGATCTTCTCGGACCGTCACCAAGTGTTTCTGACTTTTTATCCTCTTTGGGGCACATCCCGTCCTCGATGGGCATTTGACCTTCGTCTTGTTAATAGTTTCTATCTAACATCTTCAATACCTCAAACATTTTACAACCGTGCTGCGAATTCTACCTACATACTGCTCCTACCTGACTGCACACTCCGTCTACCATGGCCAGAAACTTTTCTCTTTGCCTGTTCATATCCGTTTACTCCATAATTCAAAACGCGCTAGAACAGAGTTATGAACATTTGTAGTGAGAACTTGAAAGTGTGAACATGTCTCGCTCAATGCAAGTAAAGCTATGCTCCGCAAATCAGGATTTTCCATCGCTGCTTATTCGATCGTGCTCATTCTAGGCCCCAGGCTGTTTTGGAATGTTAATATGAGTAAGGATATTCATCTCTCGCTTGGTTTCTATCCTTTTTCTCTACTTCTACATTTTCTGAAAGACCGCGCTACTTAGACCGTTTTCATCACTCCTAAGTTTTGTCGGACTCGAGGCTCTGGCTTAGAACCGATTCGAGAATTTGGTATTGAAACGGGACCCATCGCTGGTGGCTCTCAACTATTACAGGATTCTGCCTAGGGCACCGTCCGCCCATACAAGCTCCTTAGGAAAGGTTCCGCCTAGTCTATGGGTGCTCTGCTCCTCTAAATACACCACATCTACTACGAATTTCACTGAGCCCTTTCATGTAAATCCTTGAATGATACCGGGTTCCGTGAACTCGTGCAGTCCACAATGAGCATTAATGACGAATTAAGATCACCAACAATGTCATGCCTATCGAACACCGATCAACGTGAGCAGAAGCACAAAGTAGAGACGGTGTGTTTGTCCGTCTTCTTTTATGGAAGGTCGACCACATGTAATCGAAACGCTCCCGATGTGAGCGCATTTGTAGAGGAGGAATCTGCTGAATTGGGTTCTGGTGGTCCACTAGGATGTCTGAACAAAAGCAATAGTGGCAATCCCGAGCTTGAATGTTCAATGTAATGGGAGACCACCAGAGTAGAAAAAAAATTACGGAGCCGTTTCCTACAAAAAAATGTTGAAGATGTCTGAAGCAGAAATCGACAGTAACTGAGAATTCTCGAGATTTCTCGAATATCCCAATGATTGCTTCGCGAATATTTGGAATACCATAGCAAAAACAAAAAAATTTGAAGACTCGCTCGATGATGCGGTGATCTTATGATGGATTAGGTAGAAAAGATGCTGTCAACTAGCATAGAACTCACCTTCGCATTCCTCGAAAAGCCACGCGCGCTTCGCAATTTCGTGAAACAGCTGCCCGTGCCCTGGAATAAGTCGAGTTCAATTTCACTTAGGGGTTTCTAGAAATCCACTTTCGAGAACACAATGAAACGAGCTAACAAATGAATTTCGACGAAAAGTTATTAAAAATGGTAACAACAAATAGTAGCACCAGATACAATGTTGCACGAGAATGGAGCACTTCAAGGGTTGCTGATCAAAAACAAAAGAACTGAGTTTTTTATAGCGGCAGTGGGATGGCTAGAGTGAACAACTAGTTGGGCAGGAATCGACAAGCAATTAATTGCTCTCTCAGCCATTCTCTCCTCTCGCTCTATACTGCTTGATGAATGGCTTTCCAAGGATCATGACGGCCCTAGCGGGCCTCCAATAATTAAGCTAATAATAACTCCTCAAGAAATCAGTAGAGTAAATGAGAGGGTTGCCTCAGCTATGAATGAATTAAGGCCGAATTTGTTAGTAAGACATCTAATTTGAATGCACTAATGGGAAATGACAAAAAGTTCCGGCTTCTTCTTTCAAGCTCATTAGTCAACTGAAACATCTCTAACGGACAACCGTAATTATATGCCACCGTGAGGCATCATCGATCTGCTGGCGCTGACGGGGCCCCCAGACAGCGGACAGCGCCGACTTTTGTGCCCGAATGCAGCACTGAGCACATCAAGAGCATTGGTCAAGGAGGCATGCATTTAAGAGTTTTTCATTAAGAAATGAATGGAAGATCCGAAGTAGGAACGGCCAGTTGAAGAAAAGAGGCTCGAGAAAGGTAAAATATGATGACAAGTATCGTGATATGGGAACTGCTTCTCTACAAAGGCACAGTTTAGGAGAAAAAACTTTGTTCCCAAAATCTCCAACAAGGACCAAAACGTGATCTCGAAGTGTGGCCAAGTGAAATATCAGGTCAAAAAACAGTCTAGATAGGGCAATAAGGGCTAGAGGGCCTGCTCCATGACGTCCACATGCGAAAGTGGACGAGTTTTAACGGCGTTGTACAGGCTCGCGCCATTCACAAAAGACACCCATATTGGAAATTCAAACAACTAATCATTTCCACTACCACAAAAAAGCTTCCATTATCACAGGAGTTTTTGAAGAATGGAGTGATCCGGCCAGGCGCCACGGTCATTAGTGAGAAGATATTCAGAAGAATGTGAAACGTCTCGGGAAGCAAGAACGGAGCTGAGATTTCGGACATTAGGGCTACAGTTTCGTCTGGTGATGAAGGCTACGGAAATTCTTAACTTGCTTTCCAAAAAACTTAGAATAAAACTTGTAACAGGCAAGGAATAAAGGTGCGGCGGTAAAGGACAGCCCTGAACTAACAATATGCCACAACGATATGTCGTTAACACCGACAGCAAGTAATTATGATATCCTCCAATATGTAAAAGAACCAACTCCAGAAATTAAATTGTGAGGAGAGGAAAAGTCTCTGGTGACATCAATTGCTTCCCCTTACAAACTATGCTGAATTTAGAAACAACAGCAAACACCAGCGGAGCGCAATTAGGGCAGTGGAGCCCTACTCTTGTACTTCGCTAAGCGCCATTCAAATTCACTCACATTTTTACAATTTTATCCGGATGGACATAGTTTCGAAAAGTTTGAGCAAATTCAAGACCATAAAGGAAGCTGAGGTTTTGCTCAGAAACATGGTGTAACAGTTAGAGAGTGAACAGTTTCCGGTACTAATCGATCCCGTTTCGGGATGCGCCGCACGCATTCGACTTCCATTCAAAGTTATAGTTGTGCATTGAATGCCTATGCGGCTTATACAATGGCATGCAGTGGCCAGTCGACGAAAGAGTCAGTGCTTTTACCCTTTAGAACAAGTTCGGAACCAATTAACCGAGTGCAGAACGGTGGAAGGCTTGGTTGGTCTGGTCCAGGATTCGATCCTCGAAGCATGCGTGTAATGTTGTGCACTTGCCACTACACCTACTTTACATATCTTTCCTGTTAACAACATGTCAAATAATTATTAAACGGCAGAGGTTGATTAGTTAAAAAACGCGCTGCCATCGCGTAGAACCAAGTAGGATTGGAGGGATATCAATAAACGAGGTTTCAATCTATCACTTCCGTTTTTCTAAAGTTTGAAGGTTCATGACTGAAGGGGGGAAAGTTCGAAATCTATGGCAGACTGAAGGGACCCTCCAGATGACATATCATATGGAATGTCGCGAAAGCTTGCAATGATTGGTTGCGAACCTTTACAAACCGTTCAGCTTATTTGACAGTTGAGGAGCGATGTTGTACCGACTCTTACGAACAAAAAGCTCAAATTCTGAGAAATTTGATACAAAAGAAGAGCAGAATAGCAAACTTTTCGCTATTACACATATCTTGCCAAGAGACCACGCAGAATTCGAAATCTTCGTTGAAAAGGATTCTCAAAGTTAATTATCGGAAAAACTTCGATATCTGTCTTCGACTTTATGAAAAAAAACGACTTGACAATATCAAAAAATGCGATGATCGCACTTATGAGTCCTTTTACACGACATTATTGACCCTGTACGGAACGGATATAACTGATCGCTACATAAGAAATTTTGGAAAACATCTTCACTAGCAATAAAACTTAGATTGACAGTCCCGAACGCTAGAAACCGTCCTGTGTTCTCTTTGGAGTAGACAGACCCCGTAGTTGGCAGGAACAGTCATCAATTCGAAAACTTCGAGTAAGAAATGAAAAGCGTTCATCACGAAAGCACTGTACTAGAGGCTGAAGATGTGGATATGCTTCGAAGGAGTAGTCGGGTACTTAAATAGGTGGCGTGACATTATAAGGGCTCTCGTTAATACTACTAGCGCA